ATGTCTAAATGTCGTTTTGGCTTGTCTGAAATGTGTCATATTGTGTAAACTAGTCGCGCTATTTGGTCAAATTGTGGAGCTGTTTTGTCAAAAGACTGTCTGATCATTTGAAACAGTCGTGTTCTCTTGTCAAAAGTTGGTGTTGACTTGTCAAAGCACAGCTTTATTTTATCAAACGACTATGTTATTTTGTCAAAATGAGGTATTTAAATGCCTTAACATTGTCTTATTGTGTCAAACAGATTTGTTAATTAGCCAACGTACACTAATGAATTGTCTTATTAGATCAAACATTCGCATTATCTTGCCGAAATGGGGTGTTGACTGGGCTAAATCATGCCTTATGATGATCAACTGTATGCTATTTTGTCAAAAGCGGATTTGACTGGATAAAGCTCAGTCTTATAAAGTCAAAACATTGTGGTATTTTGCCGAACTGCCGTAATGACTTGTCAAAACTTATAATGTAAAACGGAAGTGCAATAGACCTTTTTACGACGCGGTCCGTTGCTATGAAAAATCGATCGGAAGTAGTATTTTCCCGCACATGCGCAATCTGCGTGGGCAAAAAAGCATAGTCTTACATAGAAATACAGAAGAATTTCATAGACAATTCCGAGTTAGTTTAAGTTAAAAAATTATATAAAATAGCTTTAAACAAAAATAGAAAAGATTCTTTTATAGCTTTGTTGCCAAAATTGCCATAAAAAGGAATGGAGAAGGAAATTGTTTAAGAATTCCCCCTTATATACGGTCACAGATATATAACAATATATTATAAGTTGGTAAGTAAGTAAGTAAATATTTTATTATAGTGACATGTGTATGACAGTTTACAAATAACGAAATTAAATAATTCAACATAACACCCGGCCCAATTTAGCTCCATGATACGGTGGGCCCGCTTGCGGTCACGGACCTGACATTGAGATTTTTTTAAAGAAAATGTGCAATTATATCTTTTATTCAAATGAGAGTCAGATAAATTGTTGTTGAAATAGGTTATAAAAAAAGATAAAAGAAATTTTATAACATATGAAATCGAGGTTAATTAGCATTCTGAAATAGTCAGAACAGGCCTGGTGATGCAGTTTTAGTGATAAGTTTACCTGATTTTATCCTTATTTTGACTGTGATGCAAAACAGATAATTTTCAAGTCACATAAATATATTTTAAATTATTATTATTATTAATATCATATATTGAGAAAACCAAATTATATATATCTACCTTGATTTCATACACTGGCGGCATGTTTTCATATATTGTACTTTGGATTTATAAAATAGTTTCCGATTTAATAAGAAGGCGTTTTAGTTTAAACAATATTTTATTTCTATTTTTACAACATATATATGTACAGTAAGCATATATAAACAATTCATATATTGTCGAAGTGAACTTATATATTATCCAAATGGTTAAATTAATGGAAAAATAACAATATGAGACAACCATGGCTTTCCATAGTAGTGCATTTTCTGTCTTCTTTGAAATGTCTCTCGAACGTATATCCTAATATGATACCGTACATAAATGTGTTCCTTCTTATATTATATAAGTATAAAAGCATGAAGCGGGCTTTTAAATAAAATAAATTTCAGAATGACGTCAGTAAACGGTGACCGTATGATCAAGCACTGTTTCTTCTAGACCGATCTGCTTATACTTGAATTAATGGTGCTTACCGAACAATATATTTTCAAAAGTCTATATAAAGAGGGGCATTTTATAGGGATTTATCAATCTAATTGATCGCTATTAATTGAGGGTTATGACTGCGGTTTCAAATGACGATGCATCAATCAGCTAATCAAGTAGACTTTATTTGAACTCTTCCACGAATTAACATAGTTTTGCTATCGTTTTTTTTTTCGATATGAAGTTTATGTACAATTTTTAACATTCTGTAATTTTAGTGCGTTTAAAGGAATATTTAGGCAAAATAATGACAAAAATATTAAAATGATCTTATGTACTCAAACCACGCTAAAATGACATTTCTTGAAGTTTCAGCATGAATTTCTGTTTAAATTCTAAATATTTTGGGTTTGAAGCATAAATATATCTATATATGTTGAACAAAATTTAGAACCGAATAGAATCACCAAGTAGTTTTAAAACAAGTCACATGACTCGAACAAACCCTTGAAGTGACAATAACAGATATTATGGATATTGTATGATTGCAACAAGTCTAAGTCATTCATTTGACATGTTCTTTAACGTTTCAAGAGTTCACTTTGACAACTATTGTGAAATCCTTGTGCTATAACCTGACCCACGCGGGAAACCGCCATTTTATTCTTTATATGGAGAAAAGTTTATTTCCTTTGACTGTCAAATGTATTCATTTTGAGGTCATTTACAGAATAATGACTGAAAAACTCAAAACTAAGAAATGAAAATTTTGCCTGTGTCTCCCTTTAACATGTTTTGAATAATGTCATTTAAAATGTCGAAAAGTACCGCTTTGATAAAAGTTTTATAGAAGTAAACCATAAGCTTCCACCTATTTCATATTGTGAACGTATTTGGTATTTTGTGCCGGATGAACCGTTTAGATTATAACTTTGAAAAAATAACACAATCAAATTTATCTTAAATGTAATGAAACGTTGATAGGTTGTCCATGATTTACATTAAAAATTGGAAAAATTAAATTACCTTGGAAAAATTAATCATTATCCCGTTTACAGTTCGTTTCTAGTTTTTTATGAAAGGGATACTATAAAAATCATCTATAATTTTTGATTTCATTCATAGTTTTCATTTATCTTATTGTAATGTTTTACTGCATGTACAGACGTCTTTCTTTCCGATTGCTTTACATCACCTCGACTGTCGGAAAATACCAGACCTGTTTGTGCACGTGCATAAGAAAGAGCGGTGGCCTAGTGGTTAAGGTGTCTGTCTCTCAACCCAGGGATTATGGGTTCGAGTCCAAATTGGGTCACGATCATGTTTCTTAATATGACACCAGTACTGATTAGTGCCAGGAAGCGGACTTGAAAGTGATTAACATAACTTGCAAGAACTTGTTTCGCAATCGAGCATAAATAAATATAAATAAATAAATAAACCAAGAGGGACCTCGTTACAGATTTCTTTTTTCTAAAAAACAGGTCCAACCGAAAAAGATAGACCTGTCTCGAACAATAGAGGAGAAGTATATATCCTTCTGCCACACATGCATAACGCCATATTAGTGTAATTGATTCAGAAATGGATATGTCTATAGTTATATGTACTCACATGTTACAAGTATACATGTAAATGTTTGTAACAGACGGTATATCAAATGCAATATTTAAGTTGACATTAGAACCATTATGTCAACGTATATTACTAGCATTAACTGATATTATAAATACATATGCAATATGACTTGTGTCGTAATTACACAGTTACCATTTAACCATTTCAAATTGAAAAGCAAACATTTATAAATGGCGCAGTCATGTTATGAAATGTTTATTTAACAAAACATGCACCATATCTCTAAAGATAATGTATAAAATTTCCCAAGTTGCAAAGGGATTGCCGTTTAATTTATTTCAGAAAGTAAAAGAAGTACTTCATGATACAACATTTTAAAATAAATTACAAATCATAAACTACCGGTTAATAGCTAAATACTACAGCTGTCACAGGAATGACGAATAACCCTACCCAATATCTATGACACATGATATTATGTACATGTAGTGCAATTTATAATTACTATTGTAATTTAACGTTTAAGCTAAGGTTTAAAAAACTCATTAAAACGTTAAAAAAATTATACCACTAACACAAACTGTGCAAATTTTTATCTTCAAGGATACCCTTGACCTTGACCAAGGATACCCTTGACCTTGAGCAAGGATACCCTTGACATTGAGTCTGCACAGTGGCAGCATTGGTTTTGCATATTGTCTTATTGTGGAGACAATTTGGACCAAGTATGTAAAAAGTTCGTCAAGGGGTATAGGATTAAACAGCGAACACAAAATTGTCTGATATTTGACCTAGAGACGTGACCTTGGCCTTGTATTTCCACATCGGGGGCGGCATTAGTTCCCAGCATCGCCTTGTTGGGTAAACATTTAAGCCAAGTGTAAAGAAAATCCTTCAACTGGTTAGGGCTTTATAAAGCGACAAAAGATTATCAGACATTTGACCTTCAAGGGTTCCCTTGACCTTGCAATCTGCTGTATGGGCTCTGCCAATGGCCTAGATTAGGTAAACATTTGAGCTAAGTTTTAAAAAAATCATTTAAGTAATATGAGATTTATAGAGTAGACTTGATATTGTCCGACATTTTACCTTCAAATTTAAAGAGCATGACAAGACAGTATCTGATATCTGACCTTTAACCTTCAAGGATGACTGCCGACACAATGCTTCTGCACTTTGCCTTGTTGCAGTGAACATTTAAGCGAAGTTTAATGGAAAATGCGTCAAGGGTATGGGATTTAAAGAAAGGACACAAAATTGTCTGATGCATGACATTCAAGGTCTGCACTAAGCCTTGTTGAATTAACATTCTAGCCAAGTTTTAAGAAAATCCTTAAACAGGTATTTGGTTTATAAAGCGAACATGCGGCCTGAAGGGTGCGACAAAGTGATTGCAGTATAGTCCCCATACATTATGTGACGGGAATATAATACTTATGGAAAGAAACATGTAATTCTCACTTGTAATAAAACATATTTAATGATCATTTAGAATTAAATATTTACAAACAATAAGGAATTTAAAGACGTATCGATGTAGCATGTATTCATAAATAAAATAATAGGAAAATGGCAATCTTTCAGAACGCCAAGCATGACAAATTGAAAATGCTTCAAGATGGGTCTAAGTGTAAATACAATTCACTATTAATCTTACTACAAGCTAAGTAAAATGTAACAGTGTAACCTTAATAAGGTTATTAATATCCCTGCAGCATTTGTATCCACATAAAAAATGAATGACATCAAACATTGAAGGAGATTTACTCAATGAAACACGCTCCTTAAACAGGACTCTTTACTAAATCTAGTTCATACAATATCTGTCCATGTAGGGGCCAGAACCTGCATGTATTGTAAAATTTGATAAAGAGTAACTTCTTCAACTCCTTTTGCAACAGGTAACCAGGCAACCGCCACTCATGAAAATTAATATTTATTTTCATACTACTCGATGAAAACAAATCCTGTATTTATAAAAAAAAAACACTTGAATAAATATCCACTACATAATCATTCATATAAATTAAATAATTAGACATGCCACCAAAATATACTTTTGATTTCACACTCCGATTTCTTGAACTTGCAAAAGCACTTCATCTCTGACAACGTTGGCTAATTCCTCTGTAATTTGTGAATGTGATCGACGGAGATCGAAACATTTAGTTGTATTTTTCATATTATACAGGTAACGTTTCTCTTTGCTGACCTCCACAGAGCATGGTTTAAGCCATTCCTTCCTACAGCTTCTGTAATGATGCATAGAAGCCTCCTGTGCCTTCACGTAAGCCCTTCAAGTTATAAAGGAAGCGTTTTATATTTCAATACTCCTTACATTAAAAATACTATTAAGTATTAAAATAGTATTAAATAATAACATATGAAGAAACAATTTTGTCTTTACCATTACTTGCATAATGAATTATTTGTAACTTTTGTTTTGTAAATAGTGTACATACCTAACACAGTATCTTACAAAATGACTGAACAAATGCATGCATTTATAAGTTTTCAGGCCAGTATTTATTCTGGCTTGGGTTCCGTTTGATTTAAAAATACATACATCCAATCGTTAATTTTAGTTGAACAATCGCATTCCAATGATAAATGCAAGCTGAAACCATTTGCATTGCAAATATTTCTGGATTTCGTTATTAAGCAGTTAGTGATATTGAACTTTTGTGACAAATCCAAGTTTATGGTATGTATGTAAATTATTTTACCAAATATAGAACTGAAAAGCAAAATATACAAAAACACCTACCGATTAAAGCCTTTCAAAGGACGAAATGCGTGCGTCGAAACACTTCCTGGTTGAGTCCGGGACGGCATGTATATCCCCTTAACCCTGTCCAGCATTGGTAGCGTACAGTTGCTATACTGTCCTATGTAAAGTGGATGACTTTTGTTCGTTTGTCCCCATGTGTCTGCATGTATTCTTACAGAAAAAAGCAACCCAGCAAGTGTAACTTTCCTAAATTTCTTATCCTGAATTAATAACAAAAATGTTCCATGTAAGACAAAGTTTGTTATATATTTTCTAGCAAGAACTTTAGTATTTGTAAGCTTAAATATTCCATGTTCCGAAATAAAAGATCAATCTTCCTTTCCATTTAAAAGTTTCAAAACTCATAACTCATTTTATGCAATCAAAGATATATAATATTTAATAGCTTGATATCATACAATAGACGTGATTCAATATATATGATCAGTATGTTGATAAAGTAAGACGCTCTAAAAGAATATACACTCGATAAATCACTGTTGCTTTTTTATACTGCCTTTACTTATCTTACCAAAAATACTTTCCAAGCGTCTTGGAACCGCTTTGTATTTGGAACAATGAATTCGTCCGTGTCAACAACAGCTACATAATCGTAATTACTAAGTCTCTCTTGACAGTCAAACAATGTTATCTGTTCATCATTCCATGATTGCATATTTTTCACTCCAACATCTCGCGATATTACACCTGAAACATCATGCACACGTATATCACAAAACACTGGAAAAACACCTTCTAGCAGATGCATGCTGTGCGTGTTTGAATCCTTTTAAATTTTTTTTTTTAGGGTTAATACAAAAATCAATCACTGATCTCCAACGATAAAAGCTCAGGGGTTACATTGGTCAAAGTTGACCTATGATATCCATACTCCTAAAACGAATTTTCAAACAAGGTATCTTACGTCAGAAAGTGTTTTGATGAAAAAGAAATAAGTAATTTAGTAATGTATGCACACAAAAAATGTCCTTTAGAATAATAGGTATCTGAAACAGTAGTCAGTTTCTAAAGTCTCTTGTTAGTAGACAACAATCTTTTCAAAATATTTATATAAACTAGAGCGTATAAGATTTAGTATTTTTTAACCATGGCATAAAAACAAGTGTATAAGACCATTTATCGCGGGAAAAACAATGACTGAATGTTTATAAATGACCTTGGTCTGGAACGTTTGAGTATATTGTCGTTTCATTATGTCATATACATGTATCAAAAATACTTAAAAATTACAGCTGATAACATTGATTTGGTACGGTAAGTTCATCGTTTGCTTTGCTTCTTGTTTCAAATTGTGCACCAGCTTTTCTTAATCTATATCTTCATTAAATTCCTAGTTCTTACCTTTCTCAGGAAGGTCAAATCCATAAACCTCAGCTATTCCACTTTTTTCATAAAACTTCAACACTTTGCTTGCATTTTGATTTAAGTTGTAGGTATATGCTATGACCTTGTCAACACCAAACAATTTATGAATCTCAAACCATTCTATCAGCCTTTGTGCATCTAAAGATCCATATGTGAGTTTTACACAAACACCAATTTTCCGTTCTCTTACATTTGCGGGGTTGATTTTACGTTTTACAATAGTAGGGACAAGATAGAATTCCTTTTCTTTCGGACAAGCTGCATTAATGTCGGACAAAATAGTTAAGGAATTTATGTCTTCAACATTAAAATTGATCAAGCATTTGAATTGCTTTGCCTGTAATTTAGCCTTACCGACATACAACCAATGGGATTTATTTGAAGAAATTATCGAGACATATTTTTCATTCTTTAATCTAAAACAACATTTAAAATCTACCGACGAATACTTTCCAAGTTCCCATCCTGTCACTATGGCTGTTGAAGTTACTTTAGTTATTATTTTGGTTTGATTTTGTTTATTGTGATTGGTTTCGACTCGGGAAATGATGGCAGAAAATAAATATGTTCGAGCATTTTTAACTTTTATAAACGGCGGCACTTTTTTCTCAACAACATCCAAAGTTCTCATATGGTTCACATTAATTTGAAGTTGACCAAAAACATTACTTTTCTGAAACAACAAAAATATAATAAATTTTAATCGTATGCGATCTAAAGCCTAAAGTTATATTTGTTTATCTACGTCGAATGTAATTATCTTCAAATGCTGTTTTATAAAAGACCGTAGGAAATAAACATTTACAATCTAATTTTGTTCACACTAATGCGCATACCAAAAAGGCCATATTGCAATTTTCACGTTTTCTTTCTCGGTGATGCAAAGTAAGCTTTTAGAACCCTTTCATAGAAATTACACATAAATGAATACTTTTGAAGTTCGTATGGCAGTATACATACAATTTTACTTATGGTTATGGTATTTATATTACCTTTCCAACTATTATGGTAAAAGGGCGAGCTGAAAACTGAACAAGGTCCAAGACAATCATAAATGTTACTACTGCGACGAATATTGTGTAAATCTTTGTGATTCTATGTTGACATAGGCGGCTCATATCAAATCGTTGGAATATGCGCTTTGAAATGACCTGAAAGATAATGTAGAATAACATGTACAGGAATGCAATGATAACATCAATAAGATGTTTTTTAAGCCCGTTCTCGTCTCAGCACAACAAAACTTGGCAAAGACTGACAATTGCAGTCTAGCCTATGATATTGTAAAATGAGTCAAAAGAAATCGACCAGTAAGTGGAACAATATGAAATAACATTAAACATCTGATATGAAACAATGGAAAGCTTAAAGAAAAATTTCAAATGAATTTTTATAGGCTAAAATGCTATGGTCCCAGTAGATCTGCAGAAATGACTTTTTTATTGTTATACACACTCTAGATATCATTTGAGACAATATGAATTGTTAGCTTGTAGTCTTCGAGCTATCAATAAGAAAACAAAAATATATTGGTTCATCTAGTTTTCATTTCACGAATGTAAATGTCACATTTGGTATAGTCCTATGCTTGATGCTTTGGTTATCGCTGAGAGAAATTATTGAATGAAATAATAGATGATTTAATTGTTTCCATATACTCAGCTCAACTCAATTCATTTATTTCATGATCTGGAAAAAGTGATCTCTCGGAAACATTAATAACAACACAATAACATGAAAATTGAAGACTCGGTTTGATTGAGTCTGTACATGAGGGATAATAAAATGTGCAACATCCCTCACGCCGGCTTACGCGGTACAAAAGCCATCGGACCTTGACGCATGTATGGACAATACAAAATGCGATTGGTGTTTAAGTATAACATTTTATAACAAATACTTTATTTCTGACTTGGGCTTATAACCCATCATCATATGATTAAGTATAACTTACGGTGTCCTATTTCGTCTACAAAATTTCGCTAGTAACACGCGGTTATTATCGTCTCAAAAGGGCGAAATTTATGACTTAATTTCACAAGTCTTAAAACTGGCTAGTAACACGCGATAAGTATCGCCCTTTCTTGACAACAGTGAAACATATACTAGCGAAATTGGAAAAGTTCACCTCTTTCATTATCGTTTTAATTTTCGAATGTTATGTGTTCTTCACGTGATAATTATAGCGTTGAAGGGCGCTAATTATCAAATGAGAGACTAGCGGAAACACGCGATAATTATTGCCGCTAAAGGGCGGTAGTTAGACTAAATTTCGCATGCATTAGATTTCGCTAGTCTCTCATGCGACTATATGCGCCCTTCAACGCAATTTTTATCTCGCGAGGAACACACAACATACAAAATTATGACGATAATTATCGAGAAAATTGTTAAATTTCGTTAGTATAAGTGTCCCTGGTCTATAGAAAGGGCGATAATTATCGCTTGAGAGACCAGCTAAATTTAAGACATGCGGAATACTAAATTTCGCTCTTTAGACGCAATAATTATCAGAAGAGACAAAACAGAACAGAACAGAGTTTATTTCATAACTTGTACAACCATTGGTAAATCTTTATAATAAACGTATTTAAATATAATTTAGGTCACATATTTTACTATAAAAAAAAAAGAACACTTAAAAACAGCAACAAACAAGTGAATACAATATAGAGCAATGGGATATTTAATACATACAATGCAATACATCACATATACTGACAAAACTCCATTAATCAATTATATATATTTATATCAATAAATTACTTCTGTAAAAAAAATAATGAACACCAATAAATTTAAGCGAAGAACAAACTATAACCTCGTTTTTAATTGAGTTTGTTTGACAAAATATTTACTCAAAATAATTTAAAGAACGTCACAGCGCTGTAATAATATTGAAGATTTCTTAAGTTATCATTTTGTCTGATGTTTTAGAACATAAGTTTGTAAGTACTTTATGGCTTTTAGACTGCAGTAATTGTATAAATTTGGCCACACTAGGCCGAATGTAAAAATAACGCTAAATATTGGCTATGTAGATTTTCATAAGCATTGCATGAAACTCGTCTACAAGCTCGTTAGCATCACATAATTGACAAGTTCTTTCGTGACGTTCTACACGGCTTCGACCATACCTTCCGGACTAATTCTAAGTCTGTGAGAGGACACTCGCAGGCGTGTAAGAGCGCTTCTTAATCATTTACAATTTATCTTGTCTAAATATTATTCAAAACAGAACTGTTCTTTTACATATGATTATGAATGTCTGAGCACACCATTACTAGATACATCTGTACGCCATTCTTGTAAGTAACAATCGATAAGTCTTAACATTCCATGTTTTGTCAAAACCAAAATCGCTTTACAGAATTTTGAGGTGTACATGTTCTATCTTTATCTCCTTAGACTTAGTAAAGCCCCAGACCAGACAGGCATAATTTAGGATAGATCCCACAAAGGCATCGAATAAGTAGCGATATCGAAGGGCTTTCTTTTTTCTTTTAATCATTCTTTAAATTTGTCTCAAGTCGTTAAAGTTTAATATATGTGATCTAGTTACAAATTTGTCTCATAAAAACATGTATCTTATATGTTGAACTAGATTATGATACTCAGTTTGTTTTGCACTTTTGCAAATTGATATACGAGAAGTCTTCCAAGATCAATTAAAGAAACGATGAAAAAATATGACGGTACTCTTCAAAGACTCTGTATGTTGTAATTAAGGTTGTAACCCATGTAAATAATTATGCTTCCAAAACAATTTTCAAACATCGAAGAATATGTAAAATATGTACTTCAAATATTTGGTCACATTATATTTAATCATAAAAATATATGCATTCATTTCTTTTTAAAAAAATTGACTTAGACTCTATAGAAAGTAAATTTCTAATAACCTCCCTTTATTCAAACGAAATGTAAATTCGGTATTATCTTTATAAATTATGCTTTTTGGAACTTACAGTATTGATAAATCTTCGTTTGAGCATTATATTTTTTATGTAAAACCATACAAAATTGAGTTACAGGATCTTTGAAAACATTCCTTTTTCAATTTGATGTAGATAAAGGTCATCTGTATAATTAAATGAACCAATTCATTCAAACATTGCAAATGTATTTGAATAATAGTCACATTATATCGACAATATATGCTGCTATAAAGCTCTAAATGTACAAAATGTTTCTAATGTCAACTGTTATATTGACTTTGATGTGCCGTCTGTTGCATAACTTGAGGATACATAACTATAGACACATTTATTTTTGGATCAATTAAACTGCAACAACGCTATAAGGACATATACACCGATGAACTTTAAGTTCAATGTAAAATTACACTTCAACGCTACCATTGACATCATTTGGAGTAAACAAGAAAACTATTTAACAGAAGTATTCGCCATTGAGAGCATCCAAGCGTTAAAGGAACCGGTAAGTCAGTTAAGTCGACCAAAGCCGTAGGCTGCGATCCGTTTATTTTTCGAACTGACTTGGAGAACCCTTTAATGCAGTTACAATTTCATGTATAAGATAGTAAGGACATGTGGACAGTTACAATATACAAATACAAAATTTCATGTAAAACTATTGAAAATTAAAATGCTTTAATCTGTTTTAATCTGTTATATTTTGACGGCAAACTCAAATCTAAAAATAAATGTCAAATATGGAAAACAAAATCCCTAAAGTAAGCCAAACACGGCAAAATTTAGAATATTGCAGGCTAGGTTTGATTGACCCTGTTCATGGACGTTAGAACCGGCTTAGACAGAAATGAACATTAATCATGAACTTGATTTTGCAAATATTAGAAATTTGTCTTTTAACATACAACTGCCAATAATGCCCAAATACATGTACATATACATGAGTTTTTTTTGCTTTCGTTTTAAATATGATTCTTCATTTCTTCAAGCTTGAAGCTCTTAAACAATGAAAGAAAGAGAAAAGCCCAGGGCAATGACAAAATCGGAAACTTTGTACATATTATTGAATAATAGGTATAATAAAATGGTTATTATATGTAATTTGGTAGCATGCACAATCTGTTACATGCTGATATAAATGTATATTGCATATATATCGTGATACATTTAAGTGAGATCATTTGGTGCGATGTGTTCTGATAGTGAACTTGACAAATTATGACTATTTTAATATATCTGAAGTTACAGAACTGCATAGGTCTGTTAATAGCATCGAAATAAACGTGTGAAAGAAGCAAAAACAAACAGAAACAATTGATCTTGGAGGAACTTTAAAATTTTCACTTCAATGCACAAATGATATGGTAGGATAAATGTTGAAATGTACATATAGTATTGCAAAACAACAAACTATTTACATTTCATTTCAACTCTAAAGATTTCGTGAATCAAACGAAAAAACTGAACTTGGAAACAATTGTCTCCCAGGTTTGAATATTTTTGGTTTAAACATATTTTATTTAGAATATTTGTACATGTGTAAATAACAACATAACAATAATTATAGATTTTGGCCGAAAGCAGAAGCTTATAGAAGCCATTATCTAACAATTATAACAATCTACAATGTCTGTGGTGGTTGTAATTTAACAAGTTACCAAAAAGTAAACACATTTGATAATGCAAGATTGAAAAGGAAAAAATGTTAATGGTAATGACAAAATTTTAGTAAGTTTTGACAAGAATTAAATAAAAAACTATAGAAAACAACCAAAGAAAAAAAACACAAAAAAGGACATTAAACAAATAAAGATAAGGACAATAAAAAAAGAACATAAGCAGCATAGCAGTAGCAGTCAGACATTATATAAATCGTTGCGTAGAATCAATATAAAGGTATACAGACTTGAAAAGCTCTACGTTTTGCTTGTTTGAAAGGGAATTAGAACCATGCAATAGCAGAGTGTGAGTTATGATCAAGGATCTATCTAGCTGTATGATGTTCCTATAGAGAATATCTCGCATATGTTGATACAAAGGACAGTTTAGAAGAAAATGACACACTGTTTCTGTTTGACCACAAGCGCATATGTTTGATTCGAAAATATTTGTTCGGAAAATATCATCATTTAAGGAACTACAGCCAAGTCTTAAGCGAGTATGCAGGATTTGAAGTTTGCGAGGTCCTGTGTTAAAATAATTAGGGGGTTTGTGTG